TATATATATATATATATATATAGTTGTATTTATTAAAAACAAAAAATAAGAAATAAAAAAATATATATTGGGACCGGGTTGACCCAGTCGGGTCAGTGCCCCGGGTCAATCGGGTCATGGCCGGGTTGGCCGGGTTTTGACCGAGTTTGGCCTGTTCTTTTGTTGCCCGATTCAATTAGCCCACCCAAACCGATTCCAGCTATGAGTCGACCCGGCCGATCCAAGTTGAAAAACACTGATTAAAACCCAAAATGGGTCAGCAAAATTTCAATCAATATTAGTTACTGTAAATTATCTTTTTGTGAATGTTCAAACTTAAATAAGTTAAACTTACATGTATAAGCACAAGTAGTACTGAAAGATAGGAGTGTTCATGGTCCTATTTTAATCGGAAAAAACCGTTAAACCGGACCGCAGATCGGTTAAATGGTCAGTTAAAAAGCCTTAAAAAATTCGGTAGTTAATTTTTTTCAAAAATCCGTAATAACCGGTTCGGTTAACGGATTACCTGCGGCAAACCGCCGGTTTAACCGGACCGGACCGGTAAATATTAAAAAACTATAACAAATATATATATACATTCAGTCATTCACTATGGCCGACAAATACAATACATTCATTTTCACTTTGGCTTCTTGTTGACTTAATTTTGTAAGATACTATAACTTTTCACTTTTTCTCACCTTCGTTTTTTCATTTTCAGATTTTCCCACCTTCTCTTCCTAATTTTTATACTTATGGGACAAATTGTGTATTTTTTATTTCATTATTATTGTTATTCTTAATTTTTAGGTCCAAATAATCTTTTTGGGCCCAAAATTGAAAAATAAAAATTAAGCCCAAAATAAAAAGAAATAAAAATTGAAGGCCCAAAACAAGGGTTTTGGATTTAACCGGTTTACCGCCAAACTGGACCGTCCAATGCGGTCCGAATTGTGGCCGGTTAAAAAATAAAACCCGTCCAGTTATGGACAAGAAAAAAAATTAACCGTTAGGTCCGATTTCGTCATGGTTTAAGCTAAAATCGGACCAATTCAGACTACTAAAAGATAGTAATTTGTGAATATTCAAACTCTAACACTAACACAAATGTTATGAATATTCGACTTCAACACATTTGTCCATTATTTAAGAGATCGACTCATCATACTTTTGGAACAA